CTGTGGCAGCAGGGAAAATGGTCACGGATCTGGTTCGTAACTCGAGGCGGAGTTCGCAAGTAGAGGTAAATTTTTGGGGCCGGAGCTGGTCGTATCTTGAAAAATTCATAAGGAGGGGTGTTCGTAACTAGAGGTAAGGTAAATTTTTGGGGCCGGAGCTGGTCGTATCTTGAAAAATTCATAAGGAGGGGTGTTCGTAACTAGAGGTAAGGTAAATTTTTGGGGCCGGAGCTGGTCGTATCTTGAAAAATTCATAAGGAGGGGTGTTCGTAACTAGAGGTACCACTGTACTGCCAAGATATTTAATCTGATATTAGCAATTCTGTAGTATTATGATTCACCAATTGCAGACACTAGCAAAATACAGCACATCATAGAAACTCAAAACAGCAACACAGAAAAAGTATGCAACATAGTAATGCTTTTATCTTTCATTTTCAAATCAAAGTTTCCTTCAACACATTCTTTCATGCATCTTTAGAACACTGAATGTCCAATTATTTATTTCATAAATAAACTAAGATCTGAATATTTTCTACAGGCATAGCTATGTTTGTTACTTAATAAAGAAACCTGCAATATCTTAAAATCTAACAAATTTATTAATACACAAGATTTCATGGATCATGGTCCTCCTCATCAGATGCACACAGTGTTGCCTTAAGAATCATTACATATACATTGCCATTGCCAGAGGACCAAAAAAGAGAATAATAAAAATAGAGATCAGAAAGAACCTTATAGACACTAGCAAAAATAATATTATTGATAGTCTGTTTTGCTTGTGGACAAACCTGTAATTCATACTGATTGTATATTTAGCTATACACATAGATTAGAGGTAGGGGGTGGGTGAGGACAGAACCCTCACAGCAATCACTGCTTACCAATTAAGTGAGAAAAGGTTATTTGCCATTGATGGCTCTGTCATTAACTACCTGCCACTTCAGCCATTCCCCTCTGCTGATCTCATGAATGTCTTTCTAATATATCAATGATTGCAAAGAAGAAAACTGCAACTCTGGTTTACTTATCTACAAAACAGCCATTTATTAGACAACTCATTATATTCAAAAGAATAGTATTCTCTGGAAATGGCTCTACAGTTGGGTTCTAAAGCTGGGAAAGGTTCAATGAAATGCCATCTATTCTGCAAATGGTAAGGAGGAATTAAGGCATTAAAATATGTGCAGGGTAATGTAAAACAAATAAGAAACTGGAGGGGGCCCAAATCTATACAAAGCTGTAATAAAAGATCATTCCAATGACAAATGGGGAGGTAATTCTTGCTTATTTTCTTACTGAAGACAGTAAAGACCATCAGTGAAGACCATACAGAGTTCTGGTTCAAAGTTCTGATCACATCCTTTTATTGCTAGAGGTTTAGTATCATTTAAAGAAAAAAGCAAACTATTTTTAGAGGCCTATTGACTATGGTATGAGAGAAATAAGAGGGAAGACCTA